TAATTTTATGCGTTGATATTGCCTTAATGCCATTGATTTCTTAAGGAAAAACATAAAATTAATGTTATTTTGCTTTAAATTAAAAGAAAGAATGAATTGAAAATACTACAAATTGATATTTATTAGATTTAACAATTATATTGATAGAGAAAAAAGGTAGAATATTCAAGTGCTTGCAATATATTTTTATTTTTACTCACAAAAAAATGTGCATACTTAGGAATACTTCTATTAATAATTCAAATCTTTTTGATTATTCAGCTCAATTATTGTCGTCTCAAGATCTTTGCTGTACTACAGAGTTGTTTCCAAACCGACTAACTAAGTCAAATTCAATTACAAACAATGCAGTACACAAAACAAGAAAATAGAAATTCTAGTCATCTTCCGAGTCCTTCCGCTATATACGAGTACTAGTGTGTGTGTGTGTGTGTGTTTAAGTGGGGGGAGGGCAAAATGATCTGAAACACATCATATTGGTTGGCTCATTTGCCTGGCTGTGAAATCAATATGCTGTTTAGCTGGTTGCCAAATGAAGTTGTCACTTTCTCGGGCTGCTTATGAAGATTAATGTGGCAGCCACCTTAGCGCTTTTCAATTAAAAGTGCGCCACCCCGTCGAGAAAACTTTCAGTTTTCTTTAACAAAGAGTAATTGTTTCAACATGATAATTGTTTTAGCACACGCGCGACTTTGATTAATGTGAGCGCACAATTGACCCAGTTTCAATTAAATGCCGTGTCTGAAAATTTAAATCTCTTCCCCTTGGCTGGCTGACACTTGTCCTGGCCAAAATCAAACAAGGAAGGCAAATTCAAGGCGGTGATGACAAGCATTGACGTCTAATAGAAAACGTGTGCGGGCATAAGAATGGCCGCTAAGAAAATGCATAAAAATGTATGGGCTTGATGCTGGCCTGTACATGTGTGGAAAGGACATGCAAGGACAAACGGAAGTAGCATACGCAAACGTCGCTTATCGCCAACAAGACACACGCACACACACACACACTCCAACTTACAATACTTTGCCCAAGTTCATAAAATATTTTTTATATACAAGATACTTTGAAGATATTCTGGGCTTTCCGCTTCCAGCTTCAGCTGCGCATACCTACACGTAAATGGACTGTAGGATGCTGGGCTACGGGCACGGCACAGAGCCGGAATGCAAGGCAAACGAAATTGTTTACACAAGACATAAGAAATTTTTTGTGTTTTTTTTTCTGTTTGTTCGCTTACTGAAGGCATTTGCATAAACCTTCGATGCGCGTGTTTGCTTAGCCCATTATGCTGAGCAAACCGTGCGCACAAAATTCATTTTCAGACAGAGAACAATCTGAGGTCATCCCTTTCGCGAGCCGTTGCCACTTTTGAGTGGCAAACTTTTGGACAACTACAATAATCATAAATGCAGCGACAAAACGTGCGCCTCACTTCGATTTTGAATCTCTTTTCAAGCAGCAGAAGTTTCCCAACCACAGCTTCTCACATTCGCAAATATTGGATGTTCAAATCACGACGATGCGGCAGAGCTTCAATGAAATTGTTGCTTCCAGGTTTGTGACTCCTTTTTATAGCTTGAGTCTGAAAACTAAGAGACTAGAAGAAGAAAACTAGTTATTGTTACCATACGACTGCTTATATATCCAGCTTTGTCGATTCGTCTTCATCTCCAATTTTAATAATTATTGATAATTTTACAATTTAAAGGACACTAGATGCCTTTAACAAAACCCGATGTCCTTTGGGATCAAAAGAGTAGTTTTTGTTGTAACTGTTCTAGTAACAGTCCCACACTAAATTGCGATTAGTTCTTGCTCTTACCAGCTTCATAATTCAACAAAAAGGTGATCCAAACTTTTGGAAATAAAATAAATCTGTAATACTTGTAGATATATGTAAGTTTCTAAACCACCTTTGAACAATTTCTGAAACGTACTTTAAAAGTACTTATTAGAAAAACAACATTTTTTAGCCGACATGAAGCCTGTTTTGAGCAGGTTTATTAATGGACTTAAATCGTTCAAATATGCAGTTTTTAAAGCTCACACACTTTCTCAACTTTCTATATAATTGTATAACACTCAAACCCATTATCAATCAATTATAATTTATAACATGAACAAAAATATACCGCTTATATACAAGCGAATACGACTAGATATAGTATCCATATTAAAGAGATCGGTTTACAATTAAAAGTTTATAGTTGATTCGATTTTTTATAGAATCGTTTGTCATTATTTTATTATGTTAGTTGTTAAATCTGTTTAGTGATATTTTTTTTATTTTTCGAATATAACAATTTTGTACATATTCTAAAATTGTATTATTGTATTTTTTATTTTGATTTTATTAAGTTATTATGTAAGATGTTTAAACCTACATAGTTTTTTTTTTATTTATTTACGATTATTTAAATTTGTTCATAAATTTTCGAATTTTTACTTAGAATAGCAAAGGAATTTGATTGCAGCTGAGAGAGAGAGGGACAAAGCTAATATTTCAAATTGTCTGTGAGACTAGTACATCCATAATAGCAGAATATATTTATTTAGTGTCCATTCAGCCGAACTTGATTGAAATGGATATGTCTTCGAAGGTAAGACTCGCATGTAATTACCCCCACATGGAGGAACACCAGACAGCAGCTACGCCCACAAAAAAAATACTGCCCCGACCCATGCATTAAGTGCCACTGGCACTGCCACTGCCACTGCAAATATTTTGTTGTGTATTTAGGTGTAGAACATTTGCGCAGTTTAAGCTGACATGCAATATTCTGGCAGCCCCCCCTGCCTCTGCCCCTGCCCCTACCTCTCGTAGACCTCTCGTAGAAAATCAACTCGGTCTGCGTCTAGAGTAAATAAGTTTTGTGGTTCTGGCATTTTGGCTTAAACGACATTTTGTACCGTGACATGTTTGCCATTATTATTATTGTTGTTGTTGTTGCTGTTGTTGTTCTTTTCGATTATTTTGCTTTACTTTTTGTTTGGCTTTTTCTGCTGCTGTTTGGTATTGTATGTCGATGCGATGATTGATGGCACTTAATTGATGATGAACGCTGTAAGTCGCACTGCGCTGGCGCTTAAATGAAAGCACAGCATGAATTAAATTTCCGTTGTTTGACTTAAAGTCTCAGTCCAGATACAAGATTTAAACTCTCTGTATATATGCTATAGAAATTGTGCATTGGCTTTATTTACGAGCGCCTGCCCTTTACGCACAACATTCCTCGTTGCCGGGGCTCCCTTGCGATGGTTTGCAGGTCACAGGTGCTTTTGTTGCCGGCATTAGATTTTTGGCATCCGGCTGAACAAATCTCTCCTCTTGCTGGCCCTCCGATCCCATCCCTCCTTCCCCTCAGTCCGCCCACATGTTTGTATACTTTGCCCATTTGGCTGTAAAATTTATTTCATTTGTCCAGTTGCTGGGCCAGAGGCATGGACAGAACTCGGAGCCCACTACACGCATGACGCTGACAGTTTTATAGCATAGCTAAGCCGATATCAACGGCAGGACACATGACATTTTGGGCGAGCAGATTGCCCAGCACCGCCATAAAAGTGCAAAATTTAAAACCTTTTTTTTTTTTGTGTGTCCTACCTTGCCAACAAGTGGCGGGCACATGAACAATGCTGTATACAAAACGGTTTTAGGTTTTCCACATGCCTTTTCAATAAAATCATTCATGGTTAAAGCTGATAACAAAATGTAAAATTGTTTTCAAGTGCCTGTGGGGGCCATGTACGAGCATGAATGGAAGTTGTTGCAACATTTCTGAGTTTAAATAATAGCAGTTCTCCACTGTCGATTATTGTAAATGGAAACAAGCAACAGGCTTTATTCAAAAATGAGCCTATGTCAAAAGCTATCTCGTTCAAAAGTACTTGATGCTCATACATATGGACAAACGAGCGGACACATGCACATGTATATGGATTCTTCTCATCGTATTGTTGTTAAAATAAATTGTTTGAGATATTTTGAAAGGATTGTAATTTTTATTTAAACTTCATAAAATGACTTCATAAATGATTTGTTTGTTTAATTTATGGTAGCTTAGAATTAATGCTTAATTGCAATGTTAATTTATAACCAACGCCTTCAGACTGAGTCTATAAATATTTATAGTAATGAAATTAAATCCAACTTTATTTATTGACTGACTCATTTCGAAAAGTGAGATTTCTGTTCAGACTTCAGACTGAGTTTATAAATACTTAAAGAAATTAAAGCCAACTTTATTTATTTTGCACCATTTCTAAAAGTGAGATTTCTCTTCCTTAATATCTCTGTTTTGATATATCCTCCATTGTTATTAATAACAAACCATTACCAAAGTGTCTTCGCATGGAAGATTGGAGCATTGCTAAAAAGGGTGCGGGAAACTTTGATTGCTTTTTTCATATGAAACTAATTAATCGGAATAGCGACTTTCTGGTTTTCTTTGAGTGATTAAGTTCTTATTCGTCTTTTATCAGAATTTTGTACCGCCATTGGTTGCCATTGGCAACCACATCGTGCCCTTTTCCCGCGAAATTCGGAGTATTTTTAAAAAGCTTTTGTACAGTAAAAAGCTGCTCTCCATTTCCTCGTTTCTCGATCTGCCATTATTTTATCTACTTTTAAAGAGTACTCTAACAACTTTCTGTTATTTATATAAACATTTTATCATTTATAATAATAGGGTGTCAAAGTCGAATGTTACTTATATTGTTTTTTTAACATAAAATTTATTTGCAATTGACTTCGAAAAGCATTTGTACGATGCCAGAAACTGATAAGAATGATCAGTTCAGTTTTTCGTTGTGCAATGCCTCTTTTTAAATAAAATTAAATATAATTTAATTACGGTTACAAATAACAGTACATAATGAAGCTTTCTGTTATAAATTATTGTTTAAAGCCAGAGAATCAGTTGAAAAACAAAAACACTACAACATCCCTTACAAGCTTAATAAGGACTTCCTAGCCCTGCAAGATATAAAAGCCCGCAATACTGTGTGAAATATGATTACACACCTTATATCTAGCGATCCGCCCACCATCGTAATTTTTTATTAATAGATATTACTATTGGATTCAATATGCCATTATTGTGCCTAAATAGACATGCGGCGCTCCTCGTTGAAGTTTATGAACCATTCATAGTCCTCAAGCTTGGTGTGCACATACTCGCCGAAGACATAGAGCCTGATCTCCATATACGTTTCGTCCGGATCATCCGCTTCGGCTGCCTTGGCAGTGAGATATACATCGATGACAATGGTGGCATGCAACAGGTAGAGAACGCCACAGGACAGCGCTGCAATTGACTGTGAGCGCATGAAATTGAAGAACGGATGTACCTCCTTGTCAATGGCGAATATCTCAGTTTGTTCAGTGCTCGTTGAGGGCTCGCCATTTAGATACATTAGATGGAAGTCCTTTTCAGCATCCAGCATTGTCAGTATTGCCACCAAAATAAAAGTGAACGCAGCGGCGCAAGTCTTCGCTATTTCCAGCCAAAGGTAGGGACTATGCCCAGTACAGATATTAATGCTCTGGAAAAGTGTGAGCACTGTGAACGCATAGAAGGTGATTAGATAGAGATAGTGGAACATTTGCTTGTTCCAAGTCAATATGCTCAGGTCAACCGACATAAAGCCGCTGATATTGAAGGCCATGCAGAACATATTGAAGACTGTCTCGAGGGTGTAGAAGAGGAAAAATACAGCGCGCATTTTGATGAATCCAATTCTATCTATAAATTCTGTGTAAATGTGTTTGTGTGTGTATATTTCTATATATATAAATAAAAAAGAATGATGTCACAGGGACGCCTACGATCGTTACTATTTATATATAAGTAATTTGAAATTCAAGAGCTCATCAATAACTACCAACTAATTATAAACCCGTCAAGATAATACGAGTAGGCCCTGCAATGTGCAGTAGCTCTTGACTCATGCGAATGGGAAAACCTAAAAGCAAAAGCATTTAATACAAGGTGTGTTCCAAAGTAAACAGGACTTTTTAAAAAAATCAGAACAAATGGTTCTTTCGGCAAAATTAATTTATTTTATTCAAAATAGTCTCCTTCTGCTTCAATACAGCTTTTTGCACGATCCAAAAGCATGTCGAACGAGTGTTTTAACTCGTTGGCCGGTATGCCGGTGCAAGTCTTTTGAATGGCCTCTAAGTCTGCATAACGCTTTCCTTTCATGAGCCAATGCATTTTTTTCGCACCACAAAAATACTGACACTTAAAACGCAATAACTTCACTTCCAATCGATGAAATGTCATGAAATTCTCACTGGACAATCGATAAAGATAGCAGATTCTAACGCGCCAGTCTACATATAGATAGGGGGCGCTAGATTCAAAAAGTCCTGTTTACTTTGGAACGCACCTTGTATGTTAAAATTAAAGCACATTAAATTCAATCGAAGCATGCAGATTCGTGCTAGCTGGAACCAATCAGCAGAACTGGCTAATGGATCAAGGTCTCTTCTGCTTCTACTAACTGATTTCTCAGCTGACATGAATGCCAGTGTTGCAGAAAAAACACCTTTACTATAACTAAAGTCTTCTTTATTTATTACTAGCCTTTAGAAGAGTACGTTTATATTAGGTTTGTGCGAAGAGAAAGGTGTATAAGGCTGAAGAAGGCGTGGCAGACCATACAAAGTACTTCTATATATTTTTTATCAGCATGATGAGTCGATCAAGGCATGTTTGTCTGTCAAAGATGTCTTATATGTTTATTTATTATTTTATTTTTTTAATGCACCACCCCACTCCCGTTTCTCATTGCTTCTATGGTACATGCAATGTTGTGAGAATTTATCTATAGACAACTATCTATATTTATGTCGATACATTCGAAACTAGAAGAACAGAGTGTATAAACGAAATAAAAAAGTTCCTGGCTAAAATAAGTAAATAAGAACCTTTTAATGTTCTAAATATTTCTTTAACTACTAAATTATTTGTATTTAAAATAAAAGTAAGCAACAACAAAACATTTATAAAATTTAAAATTTTTAAAAATATTTATTTCCTAATTTTAAAAAAAATTCTGAAAGATCTTTACTACCTACATTATTTTGCATGAATTTCACTCAAATAGAGCAATTTAAAAATACATGTTCGAATTAAGAAATATTAACCAATCATGACCAACAAAATATCCAATAATAACTCTGAAGCGTAGAGAAAATTTTACTGAAAAAGAGTATGGAAATTTCCTCTAAATTACTGCAATAAGCTATATTGCTTTGCAGTGCTTAACTAATCGAAATGGAATCAGAGCCACTGTGCAATATTTTTGATTGCCAGCCGTAAATGATAAGCGTTCTCACAAGCTGCCGCGACACGCTCGGAAGTGAATTTGTTGCGCACGTAGCTTGTACCTCGTACCTAGTAGCTGTTGTTTTCAGTTCTTTAATTTTCCATCAGTTGGTAGCGAGCCATAGTATTTGTATTCTTGGCTATAGCGGAAGCGTTTAATGCATTGCTGGTGTCAGCGAAAGCTAAATTTAAATAGTCAACAAATTGGTGAAGCGTGCGATTATGGGAATAGTTCAACACTTGGCCAGCTCAACGAAAGACTTTTGGGGCAAGTCAACGCCGTGAGTTGGTCTGCACACCCAAATGCTCTCAGCTAATTAAAAGCGTGGTATTTGCTATCAACAAAAAACAGAAAACAATGTACCTTATCGAAACGTTCCACTACTCGGAATTGAACGCGACATATTTTTATCTCGAACGGTTGGCAGTTGGAAATTGGTCGCATAAACGACTAGACGGTAGTTACTCACAGATACGCTTAACACAATGCAGCCGTTGATCAATTGGTTGCTCATCAGTTCTCTGGCGGTGTGCGCCTCGTTTGTGGCGGCACAAGATGGCAAGAACATCCCAACGCAGGAGTCGCAGGAGCAGAGCCACACGACGTCGGTGGCGGGAATGGTGAAGCTATTAGCGCTTGAAGCCGAGCTACTAAACAACTTTGCCAGCTATGCCAATGAGTTGGAAAAGAAACTGGAGGTTGTAAGTAGGTGGGTCCACAACTTGAGCAGATTCAGAGCCCCATAGGCAGGTCGTCAAACCGAATTATATTTATTCGATTCTGTTGAAGCTCTAAACTTGATAAATATTTGTTAAAGGACTTCCAAAACAAGTGAAGAACGTACAATAATTAATGTGTTTAGCCTTCCGAAAACCTCATAACATTTATGTATACCAGTTACATGAATTATACCAATTATTGCAAGTAGGTGAGTCCACAACTTTATCAGCTTCAGAGCCCCATAGACAGATCGTCAAACCGAATTAAATTTATAGTAGAGACTTCGATTTTGTTTAAGCCCTAAACTTGATCAATATTTGCCAAAGGACTTCCAAAACAAGTGAAGAAAGTACAATAATTAATGTGTTTAGCCTTCCGAAAACTTCATAACAGGTTTGTACAAGTATACCAGTTACATGAATGTAAAAACCAAATTATACCAATTATTATAAGTAGGTGGGTCCACAACTTGAGCAGATTCAGAGCCCCATGCCAGGTCATCAAACATCAATATATTTATAGTAGAGACTTTGATTTCGCTTGTTATATTTCAACAAAAGATTCTGTTGAAGCTCTGAACCTGATCAATATTTGCTAAAGGACTTTATAAACAAGTGAAGAAAATACAATAATTAATTGAGAGTTCCGAAGACTTCATAACGTTCATGTGTACCCATTACATGAATGTGAAAGTCAGAATAAACCCATTGTCGAAATTATAGCCCATTATTCCTTAGGCAGCTTTATAATACAGTTCACCATATCATCTAAAATTATAACGTTGTACTCGAATTATATAAAATGTGTGGACGGTTCATGCGGCTCTCCTCCCACAGTTTCTAGCCCCAAACAACTTATGGCAGTTGCATGACAAATGCCATCGACTTTATCGTAAATACAAAATATACTATATGCGAATGTATAAAATATGTATAAACGTTCAAGTTTAGAGTCCTTAGCTGTCATGGTTTAAAAGTTATCGGGGTTCATACAGACAAACAGGCGAGGGCTTCACACTTTTTTAAAACAGGCTATAAAGCTATACATGTCCTTGTACTACATTAATATGATCACAGTTGAAGCGTTTATAGGTTAGGGTCTTCCATTTCCTAAATATCGGTTGATAATATACGATTCTGCAATACGGTTGTATTCTTTTTTGCTTTTATCACACTTTATAGCGCACTTGCGAAAATGCGTGCCGTAAACAATCAAGCAAGACTCAATACAGAGGAGTATTTGTCCAATCCGATCAACTCATTTGCGCTCATTCGCCGCATGCAACGGGACTGGACTTTCTGGCAATTGTACATGGAGCAGCCGATTGGTGAGGATCAGGTGGATTTCGTGGAGCAAAAGCGAAATCAATTACCTAGCACTACGGATTTGGAGGAAGCCGCCACGGCAGTGCATCGGATAGTAGCTACATATGATCTGCAGCCATTAGAAATGGCCGATGGTATACTGAATGGCAAGCGATACAAGTGCGTAAGATCGATAGTCCATATAGATAGACAAGTATATCCCGGTATGGGCTTGAACAATGAATTAAAGTAGAGATTTGGTTTTTCAGTGTCAGTTGGAATGCATTAGATACCTATGCTCTGGCCTTGTATGAATTCGATCAAAAAAATCATAACTATGCTAGCAATTGGATTTATCATGCAATTATGTGGCTGAAGCAGAACGAACTTCCCGAACCCCTAGGTCTCAAATTAACAGAGGTGCAGCTTGTCTATGTCGAAGCGCTGCTCCAGTCTGGTAAAAAATAGTCAACTTTTTATTTCAGAAAATCCATTTCACTAATTTTCTATATATGTACATATATATCTTATCAGATCGCTATCAGGACGCGCTTCAACTGCTGAAATCGGTCATTGCCAGTCAACCAAATGATGCCAGACTGCTGCGTCGCTCTGCCGAAATCGAAACACTGATAAGACTCAATCCCAATATCAAGCCGAAACCAGTGAGCATCAATCAACAACAATCACGATGAGATATAAGATAAAATGCACACTTCCGTTACAGTTCCACAAGCACACAACTAGCTATGAGATCGGGTGTCGTGGCCAATATCCAGTTAAGAATAAATTGCACTGCACCTATAATACTACGGCCTCACCATTCCTGCGCTTGGCGCCCCTAAAAATGGAACTGGTGCGCCTGGATCCCTATATGGTGCTCTTCCACGATGTCATCTCGCCGAGCGAGATCAAGGGGCTTCAGGAAATGGCGGCTCCGAACTTAAAGCGGGCCACCGTCTTCAATGTCGAACAGGCTCGTAATATTGTAGTTAGCACGCGCACCTCTAAGGTAGCTTGGTTCACTGATGGGTTCAACGAGCTGACCAAACGTCTTAATGCGCGGATTGCGGACATGACTGGCTTTGAAATGTATGGCTCCGAGATGTTGCAGGTCATGAATTATGGTCTGGGAGGCCATTACGATAAGCATCACGATTATTTTGACGTAGCTAATGTAAGTTGTATCGAACCCATTCTCCGTTTCGCTTAAATCTAAAAAGTTTCCTCGTGTTTAGGACACGGATATTGTTCGCATGAATGGAAATCGGATTGCAACCGTTTTATTCTATGTAAGTTAATTTGGAAATTGAATGATTAATATCGGAATTACTTATCAAGTACTTAATACGCATCACCAGCTAACCGATGTGGAGCAGGGCGGTGGAACGGTGTTCCCTCAAATACAGGAGATTGTCTTCCCGAAACGAGGGGCTGCCATCATGTGGTATAATCTTAAGAATGACGGCCAAGGCGATACAAATACCCTACATGCTGCTTGTCCAGTGATTGTAGGCTCGAAATGGGGTAAGTAATGCTAGGCCAAAATATCAATCGAGTGTGTTCTTTATCGGAAGTGTACGTTTTAGTGTGCAACAAATGGATACGCGAACGGCATCAGTTCCGAAGGAGACCCTGTTTCAACCAGTGAGGCAAGGCCCTTTCATTTTCGATCATTTTTAAGTCAACTTTTCTCTCATCAGTGAAATCTTCATGTAAGGCAATAAAGTGTATAAAGTGAACTGATCTGTTACAGATCATATGCTTTTATCTACAAAAACCGAAGCGTGAAATATACGTATGTATATCTACTACTCGTATATATTTAAGTTTTCCCGTCATCTTTCATTCTATTTTCGTAACGCTTGTTATAGGTATTTCTATAAAATAGTCTTGTGTATCAAAATCTGATAAATTTGTTTAAATCTTTACCCATTTATGGGCTGAATTTAATTTAAAATTCAGTTTGAATAACTTATTGAGACTTTTGGTTGCAAACATTTTCAACTGTTTTCTTCACAATTTAGAAACGGGAAGTGAAATATTATTGGATACCAGAATATTTGGTTGTCATTCTTTAGTTTCTCTGATTTCTGTGTCAAAATTAGTCCTTTTTTGACATTTTTCCACTTCTAATCACAACAATCCACTTGATCTGACCCATTTCTTGGAAATGAAACTGTTTTACTGGCTATACAGCTGCTTTTTCGCTAGCCTTATATTCGGTATAGACCATATGAGAAATGTGCTATCAGAACCAGAGCAGAGTGGGGAGCAATACTACTCGATGTCGACACCAGGCCTAGTGAGTTTGTTGGAGTTGGAATTTAAGTTCATATCCAACATGAATGACTATGCGAATGCGCTGGAGCAGAAGCTGCAGGTTTTACGCAGGTGAGTGCCGTCTTAATTGCTGTCGAGCTCGATATAGTCAGTTCGAGTAATTAGTGCCTTGAACGCAATGGACGTGGAGAGGGCAAAAGCCCAGCTCGATAAAATGCAGTATGTGTCCAACCCAATCAACTCATTTTCCTTAATACGGCGCTTGCATCGGGATTGGAAGAAATGGCAGGTCTATATGGAGCAACCGCTGGGTAAGGAGCAAATGGCATTTTTCGAACAGCACCGCCATAACCTGCCCACCGATAAGGATATGTCGGCAGTTGCCGACGCTATCCACCGCATTCAAACTACCTACTTCTTGGAGGCATCAGATATGGCCTCAGGACTGCTCAATGGCAAGCAATATAAGTAAGTGGAAGAAGGATTGTCAAGCTATCCATATGTGAGAATTGTTTGGTTTACAGCACCAGTTGGAATGCTCTGGACATATATACCGTAGGGAAGAATCTGTATAATACGGGGAAATATAAGGATGCTATCAAATGGCTAATTGAAGCTATCGAATGGCTCAAAAGGCATCAACTGCCCGCTCCACTGGGCCTACAGATGACTACAGTGCAGCTGGACTATGCCCAATCCCTAATACAATTGGGTAAGCTTCAGCGATGCTTCTTGTAGCACTAGGAATAAATAAATAAATAAAATAAACAAAATGGTTAGGGTGTGCAGAAACGAAAGTTTTTGTTTTCTCTCAACAAATGTGAGTGTCTCTATTTTGGAGCACCAAGTGCTGACATCTCCTAAGAAATTTACTTCTCTCATCATCTCTGCTACGTTGCCACGCCTTTGACTTCAAAGCAGATATATATCGCTTTCATAATGTGTCTTAAGGAAGATCTTAAAAGAGTGGCAAAAAACCCTCGTATAAGCCAGATATAGTGTAGTATACACATAGCCTCTAATCAAAAAAAAAGACAACTATTAGCTTGTTTCTACTTGCCTTGCCTTCAATTTCATCTTCAACATGAAACAATTTTCAGAGCAATACTCGGATGCCCTAGAATTACTTCAAAGCCTTCATATTGACGAGTCAAGTGATCCAGAAATGTTAGGCCTCAAGAACAAAACAGACGAGATAATACGCAATTTATACCAATTGGTATCAACGAGTCCCAATACGATAAATAATAATTCAACAACTAGCAGCCCATCAAGCTATTTATTGGGGTGTCGGGGTAAGTTTCCAGCCCACCCGAAACTTTACTGCAAATATAACAAGACGACGACACCCTTTCTACGACTGGCACCACTTAAAATGGAGGTATTGAGCTTGGACCCCTACATGACGCTCTACCACGATGTGATCTCTCTACGCGAGGCCACCGAAATAAAGGAACTTGCAACGCCGATCCTGCGACCCACAACTGTCGACAGAAACGGTTCAAATGTTGTGAGCAAGGTGCGCACTGCAAAGGGTGTGTGGTTTGCAGACGACTACAAAGAGGTTATCCAGCGCATTAATGAACGAATCGCCGATATGACTGGATTTAACCTGACAAATTCCGAGAAGATACAAGTCATAAGCTATGGCGTGGGCGGACACTATGGGGTCCATGGGGACTACTTCGAGGTGCATAATAATTAATAGCTTATCACCATCCAATTAATTGAACCCATGTTTTAGGGTCAAGCGGATAGCAATTTGTTACATGATAATCGCATAGCAACCGTGCTTTTCTATGTAAATACAGCATAGTCTATATATACATCGATATTTGTTGATTCATCCATCTCTTGTGCAGCTAAACGATGTGGAACAGGGTGGTGCAACCGTGTTTCCCAGAATAAAACGGCATGTGCTACCTCGACTTGGCGATGCACTCCTTTGGTATAATCTATTGCCTAGTGGAGAGCCTGATCTACGGACTCGGCATGCAGCCTGCCCAGTAATTGTGGGCTCCAAGTGGAGTAAGTTCGAATAATAATACTGCTCTGTTGTAACAATCTCCTTTGCAGTATTCACCAAGTGGATTCGCGTGAAGGAGCAATTTCGTATCAGACCCTGTCATCGTGATTAGACCATAAAACGCGCTCCTCTATAGTACAAATTATTAAATGCAAATTTCTTACTGCATATTAAACGTTATACATATACTTGTATGCTGCTTTAATCTCTCAATTATCGTAGCATTTAGTCAATGCTTAAGTGTCTGTCTGACTGGCAAGCCACACGTATGCAAAATCATTTGCAAACAAATTTCCGGCATAATCACTTTACACACTTAGCACAAACCAACTAACTTGTCCGACCCCAACAAAAACCCCAACACCATTCCCAAGCCCATTCCCGCCAAATCAGCTTAAATGCTTTTTAAAATACCAGCACGAAAAAAATAAAGTGCTGAGTGGTTGATAGTAGTCGCTCGTTGAGCTCTGGTCTAGGTAAACCCGAGTAATTGACGCAGCATCAGCATCAACATCAGCCACCACTACTTGGCCCTGGAAATTTTAGCATACTGCTAGGCGCCCGCACAGGCGTCTAGTGTCTGACACCGCGTACGTGATGTGCAACTTAATGTTTCAATTAGAGGTGAAGTGGCGCAACCGATGCTTACAGAGTACCCCTGGCCCTGGCCCCTGTCCTTCTCCTGCCCCAGTGTGGTTAGCTGTCTGTATGCCAAGTTTTTTTTATTTTTTTTTTTTTTTGGTATCTCGTATCAGTCTGTGCACTTATCTGCTTTTAAAAACTTTTAATAATGAACTGGCGCTTGCCACCGACAAACGTGTCTATGTCAGCAGCGTGTGTGCCTAGCCGAGCCGTGCCGCCCCTCTTCTCCGCAACTAACTCAGCTGAATCGGCACTTTTGTTAATTTGTTTACAATCAACATCACAACTCGACACACCTTTCATGCATGGCTTGTGTTCGCTGCAATATTGGTGCTCGTATTGCCAAGATTTTAATTGAATTTCTGAGCAACTAGAAACTCAAATAAAACTTCACATTGACTGACCACAAATGAAATTTTTGCAGCTAAAACTTTGGCCTCAGCTTTGCATATCCTCAAAAGATTTCTTATTAAAGTTTGGGCAAAGGCATTGCTAAACTGCTTGCGGCTTTTCAACGCCAACTCATCACTGAGCTGAGCCTCAAAGTGGGTCGTACACCCAACACCTTTCCAAGAGCTGCTGCTACAGTCAACGATGTCAACGATGACGTCAATAAACGAAAGAAAATAAATGCCGACATATGCAGAAACTGATGACTAACTGGCTGGCTTCTAAATGCGCTACAGTGTTCCGTCAGAAATAAAAGACACTCGTTTAAAAGATAGTGAACAAGTGACTTTTAAGCGAGAAAATGAAATAATTATTTCTTTTTTTCTGTCAACTTAAAGCCATGACCGTTTTCTAAAAATAAACTTAGAATAGTAGCTCTTAAATAAATAGTATAGCAGAGCATAATTATTGATTTTTATTGAGACAGCTTTATACCAAATGTTCATGAAATGATAATCAAATTAGGTGCCAGAATTCATAAATATTATCTTTAGATAAACTATTTCTTAAGCTATTCAACAGATAATACTTTAAAGATACGGGAAGAAAATTGATATATGTCTGCACCAAACAAAAAATTTTACAAAAATATACCTGTATTATAGAGTTATAACTCTAGACAATTATATACAATGCTACAGTATTAATGGACATATGATTCGAGACAGCTGACAAATGAACGTTCAGATGGACAGTCTGGGTTCGTCTTTTTGCGGTCTACAAAGCCTCTTATTGGTTTATAAAAATGTATTAAACATAATTGTATATTTCGTTTATTTTCTACCCTCCCACCAATAATTTCTGATTGCCCAAAAGCTGTGTGTTATTTTCTTAAATAGGAGCTAAAATCGTAAATTCTAAAGCACTCAGCCCTTCTGATTTTTTTTTTTTTGCCAGATATCACCCTCTGATCATTAAGAAAACCCAACTTTTTATTGGAGAACTCAGGAGCTATGCATTCGAAACGTGACGCCTTTTTACAGTCGACTAAGCATAAAGCAAAGCAGCTACCTTAAAAATAAGTTCATTTCGATTGTGTACCGGTAGAAAATCCCACACCACACACTCGGGCAATGCCTGAATGCCCCCGCATAGATGATTACATATGCGCAGACCAATAATTTTGCCCACTCACATATGTACGAGTATGTATAAAAATATCTAACAAGGTTAAGAATCGTGGCAAGGCAGCACATTTATTGTATAAATCTAGTAAAATGTTTTATGCACAGGCGAAAAAAGGGTTGCCCTCGGCCTGGGCAAGGGGATGACGCAGACACCGCATTTTGTGGTCAATGAAGGAAATATGATTTGGATTTCGTTACTTTGATTACACACATTACACATTACATGCGAAAAATGAAAATGAAAATGAAAAAGTAGCAGCCAAGGCGGCAAGGCAGCGAGGCGGCCAAGCGGCGCAGTGGCCAGAGGGTCAAGTAGGTGGGTGGAAATAACGACAACGTGTGCTCAATTTTAACGTCCATGCAGGAAGACACATGTACCTTCACAATAATATTCCGCAGTCGAGTTAGATTGGAGAGCGGTTGGGGTTGGCATCGTAAAGCATTTGATGTGCCTCCGTCCCGCCTAAGGTCTATGGGCGCAGGAAATTGAGTTTTCGTGCAGCTGTAGCTATATGTTGCTACAAATTCAGAGTTATTTGAATGGGTGTCTGTGTGTGTGTGTGTGTAAGTGCGTATGTGTCTGTGTAAATGTAAATAATAGCCAGCAAAAAAATACGTGTGCTACTCGTGCATTGACGACTCTTGTACACCCTGTATCTGCTTTCTTCACAAAAAAAAAAAACTCTCGCCATTTTTCTATTTAAGTCGACTATCGCCTTTACAATAAAGGCAGGTAGTCCTACTGTTAGGAGTCCCTTTTTTCTAACTTTAGGTAAGTTTGCTCTGGAAATTAGGAATACTTCGTAACATATTTATCTTCTTAACACTCTGATGCCGGTTTGATTCACAGCACAATATAGTACACTTATGTATTTATTAAATTTCTTTCTTTAGACTAGTTTAATTGTAATTTTTACCTTCGCATTACGTCTTCCTATAGGTTTATGTCAAACACCTAGAATTCAATTACTAAATATCAATTTTTTTTCTTTTGCAATGGCTATATTTTCAACATACTTTTCTAAAACAAGTTAAAAATACTTTACTATAAATTTAAGACAACTTTTATCAATCTAAGAAATATTTTTTATTTATATTTTTTCCTCCGCCGTCCACACTCCAAAACATTCGGTGGAGCGCCACTTTTCAGTTTCTTCATGTGCTCCACAAAAAGGGATTCACTGCTTTGAATAATTTTTGAACCTATCATTCCAATGCCAGCTATATTATTTAGCGTTACGCTTTCAATTATGTTTACATTAGAATAAGGAGGTAGGGCAATATATATGACTACTTTGTATCAAAAGTAGTTTCTAGACAATAATAAATTTAAATTATGTGGCTATACAATATGGGTTTTCATAGGTAAATGGCATGTTTGCTGTACATTGATGCTATGGCTCCGAAGATCTCGATGTTCACACTGTCAGACTATAGCGACTCGTTTCCTCATGCTGATCATATATGTATGTAAGTACCACCTGCTTTTGGCTCTTCTGCTTCCTTTTATTTCTTACTTAAATATATTCGGTACACCCTTTTCGAAATCTACGCACAAAATATAAAGAAATGAAATGCACAATAATTTATGCACGCACTCAAGCGGACAAGTTCGTTCGCTTCTCGACACTCTCAGGGTCAGTTTGAATTTTCGTTTGACTTGCCACAACAACATAGTTGCTTGTACTAGGTAGATGCTTGGTAAAATCGATAAACAAAAATGTGCCTACTACAGATAGACTTTAGCTATTTAATTTGATAGGGAGCGTGCAAGCATTTCGCTTTTTTGTGTGCATTTGAACTTTCGCAAGGCAGCTGCCTTTCAACACGTTTTCGACTTACCTTGTAACAAAATGATGTGCGATTTCTATGAATAGCTCTGAACGAAAGCAGACAGCGGGACGACATCAGTTGGCAATCAACCCAACTAAGTATCGACTGATCTGCGAGACAATAGACAAACCGTTGATTGAATGAGTTGCTGACAAATGTCTATGGCATACCTAGCAGGTGTATGCTAAGTCGAATGGAAAGCCATCAGACAACAAAACACAGCACAAAGTCGCTAAAATAAATTTGATAATAAAATACATTCAATATACAGTTTGCAGTCGAAGTACAACAACCTCAAAAAGCTATCTCACTCGCTCGCTTTTAAAATAGGAAAGCTAAATTTGTTCCAAAAATAAAATATGTTCGCCATAAAATAATAGACATGCAATATTTAAAATTTGAGTCAACATAGTCATATTATTTAAGTCAAATCCAAATAAGCTAAAAGAAAACCAAACTCTGTCTAAATACTACTATACGCTCATCCGTTTCCTAACTTCAGGCGTTCAACCAGACTCATGGACAAACAAATAAGCGGACAAGTTGGCTTTTTCCTTACATTTAATCTTAAATGTTATATATGTAAAAGCTTCGCTATTGTTGATCCTTTTAACTAATAGAGACAAAATAACAAATAAAAATATTGCCGAATACGCTTCTTGAAAAATATTAAAAGGTTTATAACCCTTGCCAGCCCCTCGATAAGGTTATTAAGAAGGTACGTGCATCAATTTCAATAGACAAGGAATTCATGTCCTTTTTTACATAATTTTATACAAATCTGATTAAAACCCTTGGCAAGATCAATTGTTGCAAAATAAATTCCTGGCATACTGTCAGTATTTTGAATAGAAAACTAACCGATGTGTTTATTCGTTAAAAATAAGAAATGTACTGCCAATGGAAATATAAAGGCGTTCTTTATGAATAAAGAAAATCTAATTTGGTATGCCCAGCTGTTTTGGCTTAAATAATTTAAATGTTAAAATAACAGACAAAAGACAAATTCTTTATGATTTCACGATTCAAACTGAAAGTTGATGAAATTAATTTCCAGTACCACAATATTTAAAACGATCAGTCGGAACAAATGAGTTATTATTACAGTTTTGATTCTTGGTATACACATATTTAAGGGATTCATGATAGACCGATAGAGTG